TTTTTTTTTTTTTTTTTTTTTTTTTTTTTTTTTTTTTTTTTTTTTTTTTTACTTCCCTCCCTTTTCCCTCAACTCCTTCCTTAGATTCGAAGTTTCTCGGTCACATTTTCCTTTTTTTTCTACAGCAAATAATAGAGAGAGAAAAAAAAGGACCAAAAAACATTAAGGTGGCTTTGACGGTGGGACTAATAAATAAAAATTAAAATAAAATAAAAGACCATGTTTTTCATGTCATACTTTTCCAATATTGCGACGTGTCCATGTCCACAGTACATTATGCATGGTATCGGAGTTACTTGCGGAATAAGCAATAATACACATCCATCGTGATTATACTTTCGGCTGTGCAGTGGTGGTGCCTGTATATAATGTTCAAAATTGTTGTAGCCGTTGTCTTGGGATATTATGCTTGACGAAGTTGCAGGTGTATAATATACATATACACTTATATTTGTGGGTGGCCAGCATCAAATACCTATATGATATCTATATTCTCCGTTTTGGTGTTTATGTGTCTGTGTGTGTATGCGTGTGGGCACATTGCACACGTGCGATTCAAGTCAGATGAATTGTAATACTTTTTCATTTGTATGTGTATACCACAATAATCTCTGCAATGTGTCGGGGGTTGCGTGGGTGTTATCGATGGCACGTGCGCGTTTCTTTCTTTCTTTCTTTCTCTCCAGCCATTTTATACAGCAGTGGTCATCCTTTATGCGGACTTTGACTGTAATCGTACAAATATTCTTTGTTTTCTATTTTGTTTTCCGATTTTTTATTTTTATTTTTTTTTTTTTTAATGCAAGAAAAAAAGTGTTTGATGGTATGTGTACAGTTTTGTGATTGTTGCAACAGCGCAGCGCCTACTATGTGATATATGAGACCACACCACCAAAGAGATGGGGCTTCCGTGCCTAAGCGATAACTACTGCCGTTAAACGGCATCTTTCTCGTGTAAAAGTATACTTGTAAATGTACATAATATCGAATGAACGTGTACCTACAATCACAAAAGTATGAATTTTATACACGTACGCGTATACTAACACACGTAAAAAAACGCCATTATCGCTAATAGCGAATCATTAATCGCTTGGGCACGGCTACGCCATGTGACAGATAAGCTTCTTACCGATTACCCTCGAGGTGTGAGCGATGGTGATATGATGATGATATAGTACTATGTATACGCATGTTATATACACAATAAAAAAAAGTACAAAGCGAGCGCGTTGCAATTTCAAGTCCATATACTTGCTCTTTCTCTCTTTAAAGATTCACTGGTCTGTTTTAAACACTACTGCGCGAATTATTTGAGTTTAAAAGGCAATCGCGAAAAGTAATGTGAAAACACGCGATAGAAATTTTTGTTTGTTTGTTTGTTGTTGTTATGTATTCGAGCATTTATCTGATATCAATCGATCAACAGCGACAATGCATATTCCGTTATCGACACGAACTGGACGAAAAAGGTAAAAATGCTCTTGTATATATGTATACATGTATACAAAAGCGTTTACGTAATATTACGTGCGTGTATACACAATGTATTGCGTTACTTGGCAGTGATAACTGATTCAACGTGTGCGCGCATGTATAATATACTTGCAACAGATTTGACACAAGCTGCGCGTACGAGCGACTAAATTGATATTTTATCACGTAGATCAAGAGGATGACTCACACGTAGCCCTTATCTCGCGTTTCAAAGAACATCCGCCAAGAGCCTCTCTCTCTCTCTCTCTCTCTCTCTCTCTCTGTCTCTCACGTAAGCGCGCCCGCGAGTCTTAAACACCACAGTGACATTTCACAACTAATAAACTTAGTGTACTTAAGTATAAAATAAACAAAGTTCGAAGATAAATGAAACTCGCAGCGACGACTTTGTATAAAAAAAAAAAAAAAAAAAAANATATAATCGTAAAAAAAAATTTTTTTTTGACATGCAAAAGGTAACAACAAAAAAAAAAAGAAAAAAAAGACGAAAAGCTACTATTAAAGCTATCAGAGCGAGGAGCAAGAGCGAATGAGACGTATTACAATGGTACTATGTATACGTATATATGTATCAATAAGGGAAAAAAAAAAAAAAAAAAACCGATAAGGACGAGATGATGATACAAGTCGCGAGTGGTGAGGTGTGTGGGGGGGGGAGGGGATAAATACATGAGAATAAGTTGACGGCGACGTATAAGCATCGACTCAGGGTCATGGCCTGATGGCTTTTCGGAAGAAGCGTTTGAAGAAAGCGAATAGATGAAAGATGGCCTTAAGTATGGAAAAATTGCGTACTCTGGCGGCCGGATAGAGGAAGGTCTCCGCCTCGGCTGTGCCCATCATCCTCGAGCTGGCGACGCACTTGTACCCGCCCATGTCGTGCCAGCGCAGGTCCTTTATCACCAGACTGCCGTAAGGATCGACGGCTAGTCGCGAGCCGGACTTCAACTTTTGGGTGCCGTTGTACCAGGTGACGTGCGGCCTTGGGTTGCCGGTCGCCTCGCACGGCAGCACCACCGTCGAGCCCTTCTCCGAGAAGTACAGGGGCCTGTGTCGCGTTATCAACGGCTCCGTGTACTTGAACCCTCTGTTCGCCTCCTCACCTGCAACACGCACAATCGATTCATACACTATTAACGACAAACATTGCATCGCAAACTATATATTATTATATCGTGTATGTAACCGCGGGTGGCTGTTCATTGCTCCGAGGTTTGGATTTGCACTTGGCGTTGCGCGAGAGTTTCGAAAATAATTTTTACACATTTTGCACATTATGCATTGGTGCGTGTTTTCCTATCGGCGAAAGTCTGCCAGCATCGCGCGGTAAAAATCAATGCCCAATCATCGACAGCACATGTATATATGTATATATTTGATACCCGAATCATCAATTCAAATGGGGATGGACGTCTTTTTCTTTTTGTTTTAAAGAGTTGTAATTCCGGATTGAACACGATTTCGGAACTCGTCATTGTTATTTTTTCGAGTGCAATTCGTCATCGGTGACCAATTCTGGTAAAGATAAACATTTCCAAGTTACTATAATTATCGATGCTATTTTGTGGGTTGAATATCGGAGTTTTAATCTTTCGTAAATGAGTCACTCGTGATAAATTGTATATACTTGGAAAAAAAAAAAAAAAAAAAAAAGATACTGTTTTTATCAAGTCGTCAACCAAAGAGTTGTAAATTGTGTTCAATGGAGATTTTTCACTTTTGATCATCAATCAACTTAGCCGCGTCTGTATTTCAAAGTATGGCCACCCTGAACTTTATCTTCCTGCATCCATAGGACCAAACGCGATGAGGATCTCCAAGGGTTTCAGCGAGGCATCGGTTTTGAAAGATCTTAGGGCTGCAGACTACGAAAGTTGACGCACGACACACCGAGCGAACAAAGTCAAAACCGACGTACTTACGCAATGTATATGTTTAAGCACGAGTGTACATTATGTCGCGATAAATTTATCCAGTGCAATAACGCTTCGGGTTTGCGACAAGCTCTAATGATGCTCGACTTGCAACGTGGATACGGCCAGCTTGGCAACCGTTTTTGTGGGTAGGTCGAACCTCGGGTCCTCAGCCGTGATAAAATATTCATGCACATATATAACAAGTAGGTATGACGTAATTACCTTCAACGACCACGAGGGTGGTGTGGTTGGACTCGACCTTTAGACCACCGGCAAAGCCGACGCAGTAGATCTCGCCCTCGTCCCTCGACGTGACGGCGTCGATCACCAGTTTGGAGACCTCGCGAGCCACCGAGTGGTACTGGTCGTCGTAGAACCTCTCGTACTTGGAGTACTTGTAAAACTGTGCCTACAATGTTTTTTTTTTTTTTTCAAAATTACCGCCACTGTCGCGTCGATAAGCGGAAGGAAGAAAAAACGAAAAAAAAAGGGAATAGTCATTCGCATCGCGCTTACCTTGAAATCAGGGTCCTCGCCCCTCACCCAGTATACCAGAGGTGCTGGGCTGCCGTCGACCTCGCAAGTCAGCTCGAGCCGGTCCCTGTCGCGAACAAAGAGAGAAAGAGGATGGCGCGGTTAATATACGTATATCGTGTGTGCACTCGTGGGGATAACAGACTCGGGCTGCACGCCATATGCACAATAGCGTGTATCGCGAGAATGCAGCGCGAGGCTGGTGCAAGGATAGGTAGGTATATTAATATGGATTTGTAGCGATGCATTGTGTACTCACCCCCTGACCAACGTGAGGACGCCTCCTTTCGGGCTCGACGTTAACTTCACGTATTTTTCCAGGATTTTCTGTAAAGCCAAATTTATGTGCGTTAGCTTTTTCTTTAAGCTTTTTTTTTTTTCTTTCTTATATATCTCAAGCTCTTGATTTCAAAGCGAGACATCGCGCGCGCATCTCTCGCGTTTTACGAGCTTTGCCCCATTGTGATACATCTGATCCACTGCTCTGGTGGAGAAAAGTCCGCTTTACGTTCAATTTTTTTTTCTTTTTTTTTTTTTTTTTTTTTTTTTTACATATCCGTACGCGAAAAATGAACAAATGATTGAATTCGAAAAAAGGGTGAAAATAAGTTACGAGTGGACCTCCAGAGTCCCTATCCCTGTAGTGGCGGAGGAAGACTTTGCAAACTGTTTGCGTCCCTAAAGGGGGATACCGGTTATCTCGGAATTACAAGTGAAAATTTGTCATTGTCACCCAAAATAGACATTAAAATATCTGCGACCCTGATAAATCTAATCAAAATAGCACCTCACTCGGAACGAATCAGTCTATCCGACCTAACTTGCCCTGCAGCGATCAACCGCGAATCGGTAAAATTAGCACTCACGATAATGGACTCACCTGTTGACTCGACTGGGCGTGAAAATCGGGTGGTTGGAGGTCGAATTCTGGAGGGTCATCGGGATAGTTGCCCTCGTCCTTGGCCGAAATCTCTTGGTCCACATCGTGGAGGACCTGTTTAAAACTGAGCGCGTTTGAGCTGCCGATCTCGGTGACGAGAACGACCAGCCAGATCATACCCACCACCGATAGGTAACTGCAATTTCCTGGACGCTGCATCTGTGGAAGAGAACACGACGCCGGACGCGAAAAGGTCAGTCTAATGTTTCTGCTGCAATCTATCTGTATATTATATGTTAAACTGGCCGCGGTACGGTGGCCGGTGATGAGTATATTATATGGATGACCGGTCGCGCGCACGTATATAGGAGGAGCGCGGAGCGTGAGAGAAGGAGAGAAGGCGCGCAGTCTACTGCAGCAGCCAGCTATGCGGCGGGTATCGGTGACGTGAGCGAATAATCCGAGTATTTTCTCCTCCTCCTCCTCCTTCTCTTTGGCTGCTACGGCCGAGTCGAGAGAAAAACCGGTATACGTATAATGACATCGGGCACTCTGTGCGTATGCATTTTTTTTTTTTTTTTTTTTTTCCCTTAAGCCAACGAAGCCGGCCGGTCGTTATTGCTCGCTCGTTTTTACAACGATGCGTGTAAAATATACCGGCGGCTGTTCAATATATTTTTACGCCGGTCGGTGCCCCGATCGGCCGATTTTACCGGACGACGACGCCGGAAAGAAATCGATTTATGAGAAAGAGAAATCGTGAGCGTGACGATTTATTTGAAAATCGGCAACTCGATCTCTGGTTTTTTTGTTTTTTTTTTTTTTTTTTTTTCGTATCTTTTTTTATTTTTTTTAGTGTTAATGCGAAAAATCTGGTAAAACAACTTACGTTGGTCACACGGTTGGTTCAACAGTAGTCCGTGACGCCGCGGAGCTTTTGAAAAGAAAGGTAATAACGACGATATCCCTGCTCGGCGTGCCGAGAAAGTTCATACTTGATAAAGACACACGCGCGGCGCAGAAAGGAGACGAGGGTCCGTCTACTATATTCCGTTTTTCTTTTGATCGAGTTTTCACGGAAAAACCGGCACTCCGATCACGTTGGCGATCGATCGATGCAAAAAAGCGCGCGCGAAACTTGTCGATCTTTCGATTATACGCAGGTTTATACGGACACGGGTACGTGACGAGCGGGCGCGCAGAGCTGAAAAATTAGACTGCGCGAGCAGCGGAGCTATACGGCTGGCTGGGTCAGCGAGATCGTTGCATCAGCAAAAAGGAGAGCCGGTACGTGTATGCGCGAGTACGCCTAAGTCGCTATATACATACATGTAATGAAGAGAGAGAGAGATGGGAGAAGTGCCGCGGACGGCGGATGAAAGAGCGAGAGCGCGAGCGGCTTTTTGGAGCAATCATGGGTGCTGCACGTGTAAAGTGCCTCGAACGCGTGACGGCGTAACTCGGGCATTTACGCGCACGGGCGCACATATACTCAGGATAGCCGGCGTTTTAGGTAATGCAAAAAATTTTCCGGGGAGTTGTACGCGCATACCGATCGGCTCGCCGGTGATTAAGTCACGATTAAAAATTCATATTCGTCAAAACAATGTTTTAATTGCCGCGCTATGAGGATATGGAGTGCCGGTAAAAACAAAACATATTTCAGTGGGAATAAAGAAAAAAAAAAGACAACAGCTACTCGTGGCAGGTATGCCGCGTTACAGCGTGACTTTCGTAACCTGATAAATGTTGTAAATGTTATATTGTGTTAATTGTGTGATTTTGACATTTTTAGACCAACGGTAAATTAAAAAAAAAAAATGTCTTGAAAAGTTTTAAGACATTAAGACAAAAAAATGTAAAAAAAAAAAATGAAAAAAAATGAAAAAAAAAGAAAAAGAAAAAAAAAGCTGATTCATAAAAGTATGATAGAATACGTGTGACAATTTCGGCGGACTTGTTGCAGTTTGAGCTACGATCGTTGTACGTGTATAGGACCTTTTGCCACGTGCAACACAATAAAAATAACGCATAAGTATAGTATCGCTATTTGAACAAAAGAAATGCAATTGTTTGTTTCTTCTTATTTTCGTAATTGCACTTTTCTACGTGTATCGTGGATGAGTGTGTATTCGTTTAAACAAGGATAATTAGCGACAAGGTAAAAAATATTTAGCACTCACCTTTGCGTGGTACGAGTGTGTATGTATTCGCGCACTTGGACTCTCGGGCCAATGTAAAACTTCGAGCCTCTTATTGGCAAGAATAATTGTAGCCTCTATCAGTCTCTTCTAATCTTTTCTTTCCTAATATCTTATCTTTAGACAAAAGAGTGCCACTATGCTTTGTCCAACGCGCATACGTGTATATGCGTACAAAGGTAATATCACTGTAATTAGCGAGTCTTTCTGCTTACTTTGTACGCGTGGGATACGTATGATAGATAAAACGGTCAAACGGTTGCCGATATGTTGCCGATATATACCGATATATTTTACCGATATATCGTTGGCAATGCCGAAACGAGTATAAGTACAACCTGTAGGTGTATATCCTTCGAGGGAGGCTGTCGAGTCGACTGTGGTGCGGCTCGTCTTGTCGCCGGTACATTTATACGTTCAAATGCAACAATCCGCGCCTCCTCGGTTTCCTTCCGATTGGCCTTCGAAATCGAGAGTGGGGAGCCCGGTTTCCCCAGCAACTACCTCATTCAATTCTCTCGTCTCGGTCGGAGTGACGCTTATATAATATACCTATACGATGCTTGCTGCAGCAGATCTCGATCGGAGCACCGGACTCCGGAGAGAGAAAGAGTACACACACGCGCGCGCGTTTATTGAGAGTACATATATGTATATATAATACCCCCTGAGAGTTGGGAGACGAAGAGGTAGGGAGAGTGAGAGAAAACGAGAGAAAGAATTGCAAATAAGGGAGAGAGAGAGAGAGAGAGAGAGAGATGGGCGTCAGGGGGGGAAACGAAGAACAAGTCTGGTCTGCCTGCAGTCTGCGAGTATGTCGCATATCTATAGGTACATCGGGCGAGAGTAGCCCTCCCCCTTCTTTGCCACTCCACGTGGCTCGTCTCTCCTCTCGTTTGCCTCGGCATCGGAGCCATCAAGGGAGACAAGCAGAAGAGGAGGAAGAAGATCTCAAATGGGACGGACAAGGGCCTCATGCCCACGTTCTGCTCTATAGCTTTCTTTCCTCATGCTCGCATGCATTATATTATATATNATGCCATTGTACCATTAAAGTGCACAAGTCGCTATACATATATATATATATATATGTATAGCTACTTGTGCACTTTAATGGTACAATGGCATCTCGAGCTTGTACCCTCCATACATCCAGCGACTACGACAATTGTACGAGGGTGCCAATTTTCCTCCCCCGTATAATATATTCCCACGAGTATTTGAAAATTTAGCAATGTCCTCGGCGCCGTACACTCGATAATACTTGGGGCCATAATTATTTTTACATTTTGTCACGGTGATTTTTTGCAATTTCAGGTATAGGTGCTATACAGAACCGATCGGTGCACGGAGCAATTACCGTGTGGACATTCATGTTTTATACCCGATTTCGCACGTTAATCAATCAACCGGTTCTTACTACATGAATATTTAAATGGACAATTCGAGAGGATATAATATATACATGTGATTTTTTTTTTTTTTTTTTCTCTCTTTATCGTTGCATCGCTGCATCATCATGATATATTTCTCGCGCGTATTGCATCATTACGATGTGCCGGATAAAAGTCCTTTTACCTGGTCCGTACAAGTATATATGCATACGATATACGGCCCCGAGACTCAAATTCTCGAAACATTTAATTCCACGACGAATCGAATAAAACCAGATTAGATATTGAGGCAAATTAACGACGTAATTTTTAATTAACTTTGCGTCTGACGAATCATATTTTTTTTTCTAATCGTAATAATGCTATACCTGAACAAAGATCCAAAAAAGTTTTTTTGCGTTCCTCAAACACGAACTATACGCGGGCTCTAACGAGGAAAACCGCAATAGCCTGCGTTTTGCGAAAGATCCTCAACCCCAATCAGCTGTAAATTAAACATCGCGTCCGAAGCACCACCGATGCTAATTGATTAAATCGGTTGAGGGTTTTTTTTTTTTTTTTTTTTTTTTTTTCAGAATAAAAATCGTTCACCGACTCGGTGTCGCAAAGCCTCACTCGTGTGTCGTATGATTTCAAGGCGAAGCTTCTCTCTCTCTCTCTCTCTTTTTTTTTCCTTCCCTTCTTCATTTACCGCCGCCACCACTGCCGCTCCGTTTCTTCTACGCTTTTTCTTCCTTTTTCTTTCTTCCCTCGCGGCCTCATCTTCGTCGTTTTCTTCTTCTTCGGCTGCCGCTACCAAAGACGACGTCTTAGTATGCGCACACAGGGTAGTCGGCAACCCAAGACACTTATAACGCCAGACAGAAAGTCGTCGTCGTCTTGGGCTCGTCTCGAGAGCTATATACCTAAACGTGTATAGCCTCGCGCCGCGTTAAATTTAACGCGAGCGGAAGAACCGCCGCTAACTATTGTGCGCACGGCTTGCGACAGTAGATCTACGGACGCTAATGGGGGAGAAAAAAAATGAAAAATAATTTTAAAACTTACGAAAAAAATCTTCCTCCGTCCCAAGGTATATATACATATACCGATCGACTTGCGGGCCGCGGTTTCTTGGAAGCTGCGTGACTTCCGTCGCGTACAAGGAGCGACCCGGGCGTATACATTTTTTATTCTTGTGTATCATCGTTGCGTCATCGGCGATGGGACGAACAGAGATACGAATCACTAAGCGAGAAACGATCGTTGCTCCGGCACGCGCTACCGAGAGATCGGCAGTAGATATTTGCCTATACGAGCGAGCAAGTTTACCATCTTTCCCCATTCCCCGTCTCTATATCTGCATTTCCCTTTCGATAAATCATTGCCGATCGCTTGATCGTCACGTACGTTAGATTGATCGCTATTATATGGCGGTACATTGACATAGACGCGCGCGGTTTATACGGAGCCGGCCTCGCTGCGCACTGCTGCCCGGCCTGCTTCTCGATCTTTCCTTTTTATTTTATCTACGGTACTTTGACCGATACTCTTGCTATTGTCTTGTATTTTTTTTTTTTTTTTTTTTTTTTTAATTAAGTAGGTTCAACGCGAAGATTCTTACAGTGCTTTAAATAGAAGATTTGCGTGAGCCGCGGATAACGAATGACGGAATCTTTATAGAATTTTGTGGAACCGAACAATCGGTATTATCGCCTGTACTGCACTGTAGGTTTATATCGGACGTTTGCAGCGCATCTATTGTACAAAATTGTAGCTTTCGTAACTTGTTTTTTTCAAAAAATCAAATTTACAAACCAAACCAAGTTGAAAGTTTAGCGCTGTTACAGTCGTAAAAATGTACGTGTTTGACGCTTCACCGATTAAAATGTTACTGGCGAATAATAGCTCATGGAAAATCTCAGCCGAAACTAATGGCAATTCGAACAATTGACGAAAATTATATCAACGCGCGCTGCGTTTGTAACAATACTATATAAACAGACGCCGCTCGTTGAGCGAGATTAGCGGCACTATACAAAAACTATCGATATCCAACGAAAAATCTCGCGACCCCTCTCATGGAAACTTCTAGTTCGATTTCAATAATGAATACTCGAAGCCGTCAGTGCTTTGAACCATATTTAGTGTGATCGGAAATTTTCGTACCTTGCCATTTTGTTAACGATTCATCGAGTGGACAAATACATTTAAGTGTAACGTCTATAAATTCTCTATCAGTAACTTAACAGTGACCGTGTACTGATTAAAAATAGAGTTTTTACATTAGTGCGTATACGTTTAAATGAATTTTTGTTATTCCAAGAACTCTGCTTACACTTTTTTGCATTGTTTAACTATTCTATGTTAAATTTGAGCACAAAACAGACTCGTGGAAATAATATTGATAATAGCAAAAGACTAAAAAGGTGTAAGTAACACTGACAAAAGTACTTGTTTCGATGAACTGATGTTCCAGCGTCACTTGTGGGAAGTAAAACAAAAATTTACAAAAATGTCATCGAAAAAACGGTGATGTCAAGAAGACAGTAATGGAATTCAATGGTAAACAGTTGCGAAATCATTAATGTACGAAAGAACAAAAATATACATGTACTCGATGATAAAACTGCCTG